CATTCATTGATTTATACATTATATTCAACAAACTAATGTATGTTACATAATGCTATGGTAACTGTATTATTTTGTAAACAGCATAGCAAAATAATTAGCATCAAGATCAATGTTACCGGTTAATATACGAACCTTGAACTAATAAGTATATTTAAATTAGATTTAAAAAGTATTTAAAAATAATAAAACATTTTTAAAAATATTTATTTTTATGAATTAACCATAAACAATATTTAAATTTTTAACATATTTAGCATTAATAACAGTTAAGTAACAATAAATAAATAAATTTAATACTGAGTAGCGAGTACACTATTTGAAAAATTATTAGAAAAATCTATACTATCTCGGGTATTTACTATAGTATCATCGTAAAATACATCAAGTATATTATCATTAAGGCTAGCTTGCCGGCTGAGTTTAATCTTATAGCAATCATTTGCGAATGAGTAGGCAATAAATGTGACTAAGACCAAAATTACATTAAATATCAAGGAGGGTATAAGTGAAAAATAAATATAGAAACATGGTACAGTGGACAAAGTGGCCATGGTCATTAATATGGCAAACACCACGGCAAAGCCAAAATGTTTTTTATACGCCGCTAAGATACCAATTATGGGCACTAGCAAGGTGAATATACCGGTTATAATGCTTAGTGCATTAAAAAGTGGCTAGATAAATTATAAAAATAAAAAAATTAGAAAATTACTTTAAAATTAGAAAATAAGTTATTTAATTATTAGTTACAGTTTATACCTTGTATCTTTTCAAGTTTGATGTAATTACGACCAATAGCGTAATAAAAACAGCCAGGCTACACATACAGCTAATCACGCAAAATACAATGATTGACCAGCGTTTAATTTTAAAAATACCCTGATACTGCACTCTATCCATTGAGATTCACTGTGTATTTAGTAGGGATTTATATTGTTGTCTACAGTTTTTGCTTATGTGTGGCATTATTATATGAATCAATACTTTTTCTATTAATACTTGTTGTCATAATTTGTGACATTAGAGAGCATTTTCAATATGTTTTCCACATATTTGTGTCATTTCTATAGAAACAGGCATTACATCAATGCCTTTCAATCAATCTCTATAGCCATGTATAGCCGGGGGTTATACTACACTACACCACTCCACTGTACTTTACTTTATTTTAGTTCAGGTATTAGTGAGTGAGTGTGTGTGTGTGTGTGTGTGAGAGAGAGAGAGAGAGAGAGAGAGATTTAATAAGATTAGAAAAATATGTTTTATAATTATTAAGTCACAGTTTATAAAGTATATCAATTAATTGCTTAATTAGTGAATGAATGAATGAGTGTGTGTGTGAGAGAGAGAGAGAGAGAGAGAGATTTAATAAGATTAGAAAATATATAATATATCGTATAAATTGTAAAAAAATAATTGTACATAATGTCTTTACCAAATGTAATTTACTTATATTAATAAAGCAGTTATATGTTTTATAATTATTAAGTCACAGTTTATAAAGTATATCAATTAATTGCTTAATTAGTGAATGAATGAATGAGTGTGTGTGTGAGAGAGAGAGAGAGAGAGATAGATTTAAAACTTAATAAATAATTAAACAATCATTAATACAATTGAAAAAGTCATTTATTACTGATAATTAAAAAACAGTATTCAAGTAGTTTAATCATAATTTATAAAAAAAATAGTTATTAAAAGTACTATAATATTATTTAAAAAACTAAAATTACAAATGAAATGAGTATTAATTGCAAAAATAGTATCATAAGAATTACTGTCAACTAATGGCACAAAAAACAAGTCTTGAGTTTAATAAACAAATCGCTATTATCTACCAAAACCTCCGAAGCCATTATTAAAACCATTTCCAAATCCATTACCAAAACCATTGCCAAAGCCACCCTGGCCAAACCCTCCGTGTCCAAAACCATGATGACCATGATGGCCATGGTGCCCAAACTTGCCACCATGGCCACCATGACCCCCGTGATGTCCAAATCCACTACCTAATACCATACAAAAATATGCACATTTAGTTACCATGCTAAAAATACACATAAAATTGTATGATTTTTAAATACCAAATCCATGTCCAAAGTGTTGGGCGCTGGCGATGGCCATAAGGGACAGTGTGACCAAAATCACGGCCAAAGCGAGCGATTGATATGATTTCATGTTTGGTTTTAAATGAAAAAATATTTTTGACTCAAAATATGAGCGAAAAGTATTGACACAAAAAAACTTTTGAAAACTTTCTTCAGTTATATGTTTAACACTCAATAGACGGACAGTCAATGAATATCCATAGACTTCAAGCACTCGCCTTATATACACAATCTGTCCCTTTCGTAGGCTTTCCCTATGTATTAATAGGCCTTTTGTTTGGGACTGACCTTCAGATAGACTACTAGCCCTACCATTCCTATCAGCCCTTTGACTGCAAGCCTTCTGGTTATGTCCAGTATTTTCCCAAACTTTTGCAATCAGTACTGAAAACCTATGAAATATTTTTAGCTGTATTTACACATAAATGTCAG